CTCACTTGGATGGATATCAATTTGCCATCTCCAGCCCAGTCAAACTATTAGAACAGCTCAAAGGGATCACCTCTCCCGTGTATGTTACAGTGTTAGACTTCCAATCCTTGTACCCATCCATAGAGCTACTTCATTGTTTTTGTGCTCTCGGGGACTTCCTGTTTGCAAGAGTGAATGATAGAACTATGCTCCAACACATACTCGAATTGGCCCACTTGTGTGTTACAGTTCTATATTTCAATTTAATGGGATTGTGTATACACAGAGTAGAGGAGTCCCCATGGGCAGTCTGGTTTCTGGGGACCTCTGAGAATTAGTCGTCAGACAATTGGAAAGCAGGACCTTCCCCCACTTTCTCCACAACATTTTCCTGTGTGATAGTTCGTTATGAGAGACGTATACAATTCCGCAAACGGAAAGTTACAAACAAAAGAAAGATACAAAATTCAATTATCACACAGTATTCTTTATTCTCTCCGAACTGGTTCTTTTCACTTCTTTTTCATAGGAATCCCAACTTTACAAACTTTATGCCTTTCTTTTATACATAGAGAAAAAGGAACAGGCTTGTCCTTCACTATCACCAGAGTTCGTACACGTGACAATTGTCAAAATAACAAACAAAAAAAAAAAAAAAAACTACTTATATAACTAACTTATATCTATCTTATAACTAATGAAAAAATAAGAGTACAGGACAGAGGAATAGGGAAACAAAATGTAGGGAGAATAAAAATACCCGGGATTTCTTTTTGTACGTATATATACTTTCGAATTATGGCGCCAACTTGATATCTTCTGCTCTAAGGTCTGTTCGGTTCTTCTCGATATCGAAGAATTCTGCTCTTTTCTTGGACTATTCGTTGTCCTTATGGCACCTCTCTTTTCGAAATCGTCTCTTTTCTTTCTTGCCAGTGTTTAACCTTAACTTCAGGTCACGAGCACTTGCTTTTTCGTCCTCTTCTCTTCGAGATCTTTTTCAAAAGTCCTTCATTTTCTGTCCGGTTTTTCCCAGGGCCCCACTTTCTCTTTTGTTCTTATTTTCATGGAATAGGTAATCCTACCCCAAGGACAAAAAGGGGTAGATAAGGTCTTAGAAGAGACAAAGAAACAGGAAGGAAGGCTAGGATTAATTCAAAATAAAACATACAAAATATACAATATCATGGCCGACAGCCACACCTGTACAAAAGATACATAAACGACATAATTATTTTCTGGAAGACAACACCAAATCTAATGCAGTTTGTCAACGTGACGAACAATCCGTACAAGCTATTTCTTGAGGTGAAACAATACAGCCCCACCAATGTCCACTTCTTGGACATAGACATCGCAATTAAAGGGTCGGACATATCCATGTCTGTTTATTGTAAACAGTGTGCTATCACCACTTATATTCCAATTGGATCATTTGATCCTTTTCCATACAAGATAGCAGTATTCAGAGCCTTGGTTAGAAAAGCCTTCACACATTCTTCTGCTCCACAGGCACTAGTACAGAAATTAAGACTTATAGATGAGATAGCCAGAGCGCATGTTTACAACAACCTTGTACAAAAATTATGTGAGTGCCATGGACATACACAAGAAGCATCCATTAGTTCCATGGAAATACCGAGAGATAAACAGGAAGAGGATAAGGAGAGAATCCCCATCACTTTTAACTCCCATTTAAAATCATTGTACACACAATTGTCAAGAGACATCGGGTCAGTATTGCCTACAGGAGATGCCCATCCATTTTCAATATACTGCACAATGGAAAAGACCCTCCTAACCCTGACAGCCTAACTGGGCATTTATAATGTCCCTATCATCCCTATCAGAGACAACAGGTGTGATAGGGAAATGGTGTATGCTGGCTCCACTAAATGTTCAATGGGGATCAGATTACGGGAACATAAATCTGACATACAGCATAGGAGTACGATTGCTCTCTCCACTTATGCGACAGACCTGGATATTACGACAGACTTCTCTGAAGCTAGAATTATCCTTACCACCCCACACCCAGAACACCTCAAATGGTTAGAGACCATTGAAATTTTTAAAAAGCCTGCAGTAGAACCATATGCGTTAATTCTGAGGAGGATATATGTCTGTTGATGGCATGGCAGACTATATTTGACAAAGGCATTTAATTTTCAATTGTATTTTGAGCCAAACACATGCACAGTAATTTGCTGCGTTCCAACAACTTTATGTTCGACCTCTTTTTAAACATCTTACAGAGAACACATGCACATACCATATTCGATATCCATACCATTTGATTTATTTTCAGATGTCAACGGCCAGCCTATTTGAATTAAGATTGGCCTGAAGAAGTGCCCAGAAGGGATAACAAAAGCGTTCGTCACTTAAACTTTATTCACACCAGTTAATTGGTTGATGAGTCATAAGTTTTATAAAGTTGCAAGTAGGCACATGCCTATAGCCTGTAAGAGGTAAAATGCAAAAGGAAAACATATGTGTGATAACCAATTAAAACAAATTTAATTTCGCGATAGAAATAAATATTTACAAGTTCTTTACAGATTCTCGCTCTTTTTACAATTCCAATTATCTTCTGTGTTTGCACTAGATACTAACAGTGATCCAGGTAGTTAAATCCTGTCACAACTACCAACCTGACAATAGTACTTATCTAACAGTCACACGCAAGTCTTAATCTTTAGATTAAGACTTGCGTGATTGAAGGGGAAGAAAAAAGAGTTGATAGGATAGTGGGGTACCAATTTCTTGGCAAATAATTCTCTGTAGTTTCTCATTTCGACTTCCATGTCTTGTAGGTTCCCTTCTCTCATGAATTGGCTTTTCCAAGGGCTCACCTCAAGGTCTATCTGATTCAGTTCTAAATCTTTCTCTCAGGCCCTCTCAAGGCCCTCTGAGAGGGCCTGTTCTTCTACAGCACTCTACAATTTCCCACTCACAAGCCTTGCTGTTATACATCCATCTCCTCTCATGTCCAATTAAAAATGTCCACCCGAATTCAGATTTTCCCTCCAGCCTTTCGTAACCTATTGGTACCTCCTGGTGGGAAAGAGGTGAGTCAGAATTCTCGGAAGTTCAAAAACAATAGAACAAAGGAAAATGGAAAGAAGAATAAGTTTTAAGAAGTAGAATTATAAACTAAAGTTAAAATTATACAAAATAAGATGGCGTACAGTCATAAGCCAATAGCCTGTCATGCTGAATCAGGTGATATCAAAACAGCATGAAAGATAATTCTTGAAACGATGAAAAATTAAGAAAAGATGGCTATTCTGACTAGTTATCTGAGGGTGCTTACTCTGAGTTTAAACTGGCACTAACATAACTCAAGCAATCCACAAGATATATAGAACATTTGTGCCTGAAGTGAGTGAAGCATGGCTTAAAAGTGGTTCAGAAAATTTACATCAAGTGTTGAGGCTCTTGAATATGTCTCTCATGAGGGAAGACCAAGCATTATTGATGAGGATGAACTGAAGGCACCCATCAAGTTGAATTCAAGACAAATGTGCCAGGAACTTGCAAAAAAGGTTCAATTTGAGTGATGAAATTATTCATTTGCATTTGCATCAACTAGGAAAAGCCTGGAAGCTGAGCAAATAGGTTCCATTTGAACTGAGTGCCAATAACAAGCTCCAAAGGCTTATGATCTGTTTGCCACTGCTTTCACAACACAATGAGCCATTTTTTGACTGGTTGTTGATGTGTGATAAAAATGAGTTATACATGACAACACCAAACATTCCCAACATTGATTATCATGCAGTGAATCTCTACTACATAAATCAAAGCTCAATATCCATCAAAAGAAAACTTTGTTGTGTGTTTGGTAGACTACAGCTGGAATTCTTCATTATGAGCTTCTTCCTCTGGCAAAACAATCATTATGAACCAACACAACTGCAATGAGTTCAAGATGCACTGTGTCAAAAACACTTGTTAATTGTAAAGGCATTATGTTCCTTTCAGAACAATGTGTGACTACACACAGCACAAGTGACCTGCGATAAGGTCCATAGCCCTGGTTGGGAAATTCTATCTCATCAGACATATCACCATTAAATTATCACCTTTTTTGGCACTGGACAATCATATGCACAACTGACAGTTTTAAAACAGCAGTACTGGAAATGGAGCTGAAAAATTTCTGTGATCTAAAGATTGTAAATACCACTCTGAAAAAATCCCAAACTTTAATCTTGTTGAGAAAAAATTGTAGCTTGTGATGATGCTTACTTTACTAAATAAAATATTTTCATTCACTTTTTAACGTTTTAATTTTAACCTCAAAAACTGCACAACCTTTTTTGATTACCTGATAATTTACATTATTCCTTATGGAAAAAATGTGTTCTATACTTGAACAGACTTCTGGCACAAAGTAAGCTTGAGAACCAAGATACCACTGTATAATAATTTTTATTTTAAAACAATATATTTAAACTACATTTAATGAGAAAGGAAAAAAGTTAGAGAAAAATTGTATTTTATATGCAAGACAAAAAAAAATTGACATTTTAATAATTTTTATAAATTAACACATCTACTATAATATCAATAACCAATGTGATTTAAAGGATTAAAAATGTGATTTTAATTGTATTAAAGAAATACACTGATTAAAGAATAAGATTCATATTATTTTGCAAATTTTTAAACCAGTTTCCACTGTATGTAACTCTTTATAGATTCTCTGCCGACACTGGCTTACCTTTTTCCACACTGTTAAATGTCAGGTGCTAATGATATACAGGTGTAATCAAGGTAGTTGCACAGAAATTAAACTGTTCTAAGAAGAAATTATATTTTAAAAACATTCTTTACTGACTGAAATAAATTTATGCTTATATGAAAATCATGTGAAAAAATAAAATATAAAAAAAAAAACAAGAAAAAATAAAAAGAATTTTTAATACAAGTTAGCTATTAAATTTAAAAAAAATTTAAATAAAATTTATAAAAAGCCTGCTTGTATAAAGGTAAGACTAAAAAGAAATAGATACCCGAATAACTTCTGGACATGCATAATGGGGAGAACCGCAAGATGTTTCAAGCATTGAACCTTCCATTTGGAGAGAAGCCATACCAAAATCTGCTATACGAATATTATTCTTTTCATCAAGTAGAAGATTTTCTGGTTTCAAATCCCTATGACTGGTAAATAAAAAAAAAAGGATTATTATTTAAACATAAAATTCTACATTTATTGTAATCATATATCATAACATGCTAATTAATTTTTCTAAAAAGCAATTTATTTACATAACTATTTATTTTCTTAAGGCTACTATTGTGTCAGATGCTTATTTATTACATTGTTGACTTCGACATAACAGATTATCAGACCATTGGTTCCACCTATTAAAGTAAACTGTCTCTTGTATCTGAAGATGTCATGAACAACTATAAAACTTTATATGAGATATAATAATAGACTACATTGTGGTAAGTGCAAAGGAAACAAACACTATACTTCAATAAAAGTTTTCAACATGCTGCCTAGCAGACATTAAGAGTTTCACATGTTAAGAATTAAAGTCTGATATTCTCAAATATTGTAGAATATTTCTACTCCATCAAAAGCTTTGGAATAAGAAAACTTGTTCTGTTGATTCCAAGTCATAAGCATTTATTAGGAAACTTGTAAATTGATTTACATCAATTAACTAATATTAGGATATTTGCAAGTATTAGACATTTACCAGTATTCATTATTTAATTTCTAATACATGTTTTTTAATGTAATCTAAAAAACTACAGTGGAACCTCGGTATACGTCTGCTTTAGAATACGTCCAATTCGAAATACGTTCTGTTTGGACGAAACAAATTTTGCTCGGTATACGATTTTTGTTCGGTATAAGACTTAATTCAATTATACGTGCCATGTATGAACAAGTAGCACTATCGGTATACTACACTAGACTAGACGTTCGCGGTGCTATGGTTTATAACTGTTAAATTTTTTTTGATTTTTAATTTGTAAGTAACATTTTATTATTTTTATTAATCATGAATTGCAAAAGGGCAACAGAAAAATAAAAAAATGACTAGAATCACAATGGAACTGAAAAAAGAGATTGTTGAGAAATATGAAGGTGGCACGCGTGTTTGAGATTTAATGAGATTTAACTGTTGCATTCCGTATTCCGAGAACGACGATATCAACAATCATGAAAAATAAATTTGCTAACGTTGCGAAAGGGGTTAAATCAATTTCTAAACAGAGATCGAAGACATTAGATCATGTCAAGAAATTGCTTTTGCTTTGGATAACTGAAAAACAGTGTGCCGGCGACAGCGTATCGGAAGAAATTATTTGCGAGAAAGTTAAAAGGATACATGCTG